AAATATTTACAAATATAAAATAATATTTAATATGAATAAATTTAACCATAAAATAATATTATATATATTAATCAATATTATATATAAAAAAATCTAAAATATACACTAAATAAACATACAACACATATAATAATTAAAATTAAAGAAATTAAATACATAAAATGTTAATAATAAAATAGTATTTTATAAGATATTAAAATTAATTACACATAAACAATTATATTTAATATATTTACTTTATAAACACACTCTTATATTACATAATACAAATAATTTAATAAATATTGCCAAATAAATGAAATTAAATACATAAATATACCTCAATTTCATGTAATTCATAAAAACACCTGAAATATTAAAAAAAAAAACTTAGTTTGTAATAAATATGAGAGTTTATTGATAAAGAAAAATATGAAGAAAATTGAAAATTAAACTCCATAAATTGAAATGAATAGTACCTCTTATTTCAAGTAACATATTAAAGGAAGAGAAAGAGGAAAAGGAAGAGGAATGGAGAGAACAAGGGAAAAGCAAGAAGGAAAGTAGGAGAAATGAAGATGAAATGGAAAAGGAAAAGGAAGAGGAAAGGAGAGAAGAGCAAAGAGAAGATTAAGATGAGAAAGTGAAATATATGAGTGGAGTAAAGGAAGAGAGTTGAAAAAGAAAAGTGAATTTGGATAAGGGATGAGAAAAATGAAAGAGAAGAAAGAAGAAGATGGGAGAAAATGCTAAGGGAAGGTTGGAGGATTATAGAGATAAATATTATTTTCCATGGCTTAGCACTTGTAAATAATGTGAGCAAGATTTTGAAAATTTTTCAAGGAAAAAAATGCCACTTGAATATTGGACTCCAAGCTTCAAATAATCAATGCTAGAAAATAATCTAGGTGGATTTTGAATTTTTGAAAAGAAAAGATACTTAAATATTTAGTTCCTAAACTTTTTAATAAACTTATTTTCCAATACTAAGCACTAGAAAATAACCTGTACAACTTGGGCAAGATTAATTTCTAGCGCTTAGTGCTAGAAAATAACATACACTCTATTTCTACTATTTAACTTTAATGGTTCTAAACATCTTCCAGTGCTTTGCGCTAGAAAAAAAGTTGAAAAATAATTCTCTTTTTTTTGTTTTTGAAAATTTTCTCTGTTATTAGCAACACAAAAGAAAAAAAAAACATTATTTTCCAATGCTATGTATTAGAAAATAAAAAGACACCAAACCAAATTATGACGATAAATTATTTTCCAACACTTGACGTTGGAAAATAAACCACACTTCAAAATTATTTGTAATCTTAGATATTTTATAACAAACTCTAAAAATAGTATATTATTTTCTAGCACAAAAGTTTGTTGAAAAAAGCCAAATTTCTAATTGTGACTAGCCAAAAGAGATTGATTTTTCCAATGCTCTATCTAACAAACAATCACAAGAGAATTGGTCAAAACATAATATGTGATGCTTCATCGATTTAATTGTATAAGTTTAAGTAATATTTTTAGAGTTTCTTTGTCTTCTCTCTTAGTTTCTTTTCTCTACACCAATACATTATATTTTCTTCTTGATCTCTACAATTTCTTTTACTATATTTCTTTTTGTTCCCTATTACTTATTGTAACTATCATATTATGTTTTTATTTTTCACATGCTTTTTTCTCTTTGTTGAAAATATTTACATTGTTGAGTGAAATATTTTTTCTATTAGTCATACTATTTGAGATTTGCATTGTTCCTATTAGTCATATTATTTGAAAATATTTACATTGTTGAATGAACTATTTTTCTCTTTGTCCATTCAATATTTATTTATAGTATCTATTGAAGATTTTAAAAAACTCATTAAATATTTGTTTGAGATTTATTAAATATTTTTATAATTTTTATGATATAGTAAAATTGTAAGACTATTAGAATTTCTACTTAGTTGTAATTATTCTCTACTATTAAAAAAGTAACATTGAAAATGCGTATGGAAGAATTATTATTGAAAATATAATTAAGTTTGGATTTTAAAAAGCTTATTGGGTATTTATTGAAAATTTTAAAAGTCCCATTAGATAATTATTTAATATTTATTAAAGATTTACTAAATATTTATTAAGAATTTATTGATAATTTTAAAAAGTGTATGGGGTATTTATTTGAGATTTATTAAAGAATTTAACAATTTTTATAATATAGTAAGAAAGATAGTAAGATAGTAATGCAATTCTTAGAAGTTTATAAACATAATATATATATATATATATATTAAAGCTTGGGTCCTAATTTCATTAGAATTTGAATTAAAGACTAGAAGTTAAATTAAAACCAGGTAACATACTATGTGAATTGGAACATTAGATTTATAAATTTAAGATGGGTTTTAAACTCTTAAGAGAGGTCTATTAGGTGTCTATCTGAAATTTTATGAGTCTTTTAAGCGATTTATTGAAATTTTAAAAGGCCTATTGCTTATTTATTTGAGATTTATTAAATATTGATGATTTTAAAA